AAAACTGGTAGCTTATTTCGATGTTATCAAGGCAAGCTTGTGTGAAATTGGCCTTGGATGTCTGTACATTGTGGTGAAAATAATGTAATAGTTGAAGAATTACTAAATGACAACTGTTCCTCACTATCGAAATAACTACAGAAATACACCGTAGGCGCAACGTTTGAATTGGTTTAGACTATTTAAAGTGATAGAATTGTTAGTAGGGCACAAATTGCAATATTATTATACAACCCGCAAATACGAGAGAATACGTGCTGTTGTAGCGTCACTAATTGTATTTGCACACAACAACAGCTATTGTATTTTACACGAGAAAACGCGTATTCATATTTCCATCGGTGCATCATTCGAGTGATTGACCTGGAGCGCTCAGTTGGCAACACTGTCAGCATGGCAGCGCGCCCTCGCCAAGGAATGCGCGCCGGTTCATCGCTTTGAAGAAAATGTATCGCCGCCTCGACGTGACCTGCTCCGCGAAAGTCTTAATTGAGACGTTAAAGTATTATATAGCCTGGTCGATAGCGCGCACGACATGCCTGGGGGGGGGGCGAGCGATTCGTCCCGACGCTTGTTGACGCAGCCTCCGCCCCGGTGCACCGCCACAACCGACGCCCGAATCTATCACCACGCGGGCTACACACGGCGACGCGTTATGGCGCCCGCTCATTCTGGAATGATTCTTTTTCCAGCCGCTGCACGCGGTTGCGAGAAATCGCATTAGTGTCAAGGTACACACAGCTAATTTTAATAAATACTCTACCGGTGGTTGCAATGACGATATGTAGGCAACGACTTAATTTTAGGGGAATGTCGCGTCGTCGAACTCAGAAATATAATTACAAATGTTTCATTGGTCAATATAAAACACGAATAAATGATTCGAAAGTTGATTTGAAAGTTGTTTTTTATTGCCACTGTGAAATGGCATATCATGTATCATTAGAGTGGTTTATATACGAGTTTTTAACGGATGACAATGGTAAATTGAAATATTTTGTATACAAATGTGCACAGGAAAACAAACATTATTACATTCAAAGAGGAAAACAATTTTAGATGCGTGAAACATGTTATTCCAGTATGTAAATAGACGGATACGGTCAAAATAAAGTATTCAGCGAGACGTCTCGCCGACTTGTGCCACCGAAACGAGTCGAAATGTGGGTTGGGCGTGGCAGTCGCCCCCTCGAGCTCTGCTGCCACTCGCTGCCCCGACGCGCCCACGCACGCTGCGTTGATGTGTGTGTGTGCAATCTAGATCGCTCAAATAAGGCGGTGGGAACATTGGAGCGAAATAACTAACGGGTGTTCGCTTCGGGTTTCACGGTGAATGAAAGAGTTCGCAGGTTATGTTTCGTTTGTTCCACCCAGCACTTTGTGTCTTCATCGCAACGGGATTACTATACACTTAGTACAGCCAACAAAAATGTATTTAAGTTTCCTCGCCTTAAATGTGTTAACGAAATTAGTAATACATCGTAACAGAAAATTGCACATCCAGTGCAAAATATTGTAATGAATTATCGTATTTGTATTGTATATATTTCTGCAGTGGATAATTGACAACAAAAGATGAGAATTATTCAATATATACGAAACTGTTTATGCCTAATTTTCTCAACGTGATTGTTCGACACCCGCAAAAACAAGGCAGTGAATTTAAAGGATTAACACACGACGCCATGTCAGGTGCTTGGAGCATCGAAACGGGCCGCGTGCGGCGGGAGGCCACAGAGAACGGCGCGCGCCAACAGGCACGCTTCCCTGTAAAGCGTTGGGTGGATACTTCACTTTTAGAGGAGGGGTGGCGCGCACGCACTGGCGCTGCCCGCTCCGCGCCCGCCCCCCGCCCCTTCCCCGCTTCGCCCCCGCCAGCCGCGCAGCGCAGCGCCGCGCCGCCCTCTCTCCCCTTCTCGCTACGGTTTGAGTGATGGTTCGTCGTTCCCAGAGACGTTACCAAGGTAACAATTATCGTGAGCGAGTGCGAGAGGGAGCGCTGCAACGACGCGACGGCAGAGAAACCGGCGGAAGTGGAAGGAGGCAGAAGGACGGGCCGAGTGTTGGGGTTGCTGGGCGCAGCGGCGCGGCGGCGCGGCGGCGCACGCGCTATCAGCGGGCAGGGACACTAGCGGTGCAAAGGGAGGGGACGGGGCGAGGAGAAGAAGAAAGCGAGAAGGAAAGTCTCTCTCTCTCTTTCTGTCTTTCGCTCTTCCCCTTGTGACGTAACAATACCTTCTTCGCTGCCCATAAGGTCCATGGGAACCAATTACCGGCGGGGCCGCGCGCGGGCGCGGGGGCGTGATGGATGGGCCAATCAGAGGGGATGCGGGAGGGGGAGGGAGAGGGGGGCACGTGACCCCACGCGCCAACAGAGGTCACCTCCGCCGACGAAAACAGAGGGAAAAAACAAAGGAAACGCGCGAGCGTGCGAGCGTGGTCTGCGCGGCGTGGCCGCGCTCGCACCCGCGCAGCCCCAGCACAATGGCTGCCGCCGCCGACCAGAAAAAAAAACAACAAACGCTTCGCTTTCCGAGAGCGTTATTTTGTGTGTTTTGTGCAATTACGCGCGGCGCGGGGTCAAGAGGTGAGCGGCGCGGGACGGCGGGCGGGCGGTAATACCCCCGTTTGAGAAAACTACCACCGCCGCAGGGGCTGCGCGCGCATAAGTCACCGGTGCGTGTGCGTGAGATTTAAAGGGGAATCGGGCGTAATGAGCGCGCTTAAGAAGAGCGCCAATAACCGGGTTATACATCACGCGCGGCCTGTCGGGGCGCCGCGGGGATCCCATCGCCGGTCAGTCGCGGCGCTACGCGATGGCCGGGAAAGATCACGTGAACGCCGTTGAACTTTCTAACTGGAAGTGGAGCTCTCGTTTTGGAATAATGTAAATATATTTCTTGAATTCTCGACGATATTAAGTATGGGAATGGTTAATGGGTTAGGGTTACATTATAAAAATCTTAGTTTGCAGGATCCAACACTCACGAACTAGTCCCATAACAAATATTGACAATATAAGAAGAGTTGAGCAAATATATTGTTTTGTTCAAGTGTTTACCTCACAAGATTTTGTTTGTAATCTGTATGCACGTAAGGAGAATAACTAACGAAGTAGATACTCCTCAGAATTATGGCCATACATAAAAGAAGTCTAGAATGAAACTGACTACCTCTAAGTGTTGGAAATGAATCTAAAAATTTAACGGGAGAAAAAAGCTACTAAAAGTGTTCCCAACACGCTTTACACCCAACCGCGTCACAAGCTGTTACAAAGTCACCGATGACGAAATATGTGAGCAGAATGCGCCGATGGAATGGCAAAAGAACAGACGAAATCACAAACCCAAAACCGAATCACCAGCTCTTATACAGACACCGATTTCGTAGTGCGGGAGCAGGACGTGTCGAGGGAACGACAAAAGAACAGGCGAAATCACAAACACAAAACCGCATCACCAGCTCTTATAGCGACACCTATTTCGTAGTGTGGGAGCAGAACGTGTCGCAGGGAATGCAAAAGAAGGACGAAATCAACAAACAATCACCAGCTCTATAGCGACACGATTTCGGTAGTGTGTGAGCAGAACGTGTCGCAGGGAACGACAAAAGAACAGCCGAAATCCCGAGCCCGAACCGCCACAGGAATGTCGGAGCGCGCGTCGGCACACGAGGTCTCGCAACAATGAGCAAGCGGCAGCAGCGCCGGCCAAGTCGGGCGGCGCGGGCGGGCGCAAATCGCCGGCGCAGCTCAGGTCGCCTATCGACCGCCAACGCGCTCAAGTCGCTTCTGCTGCGCCATTTTGTGCCGCCGCGCCCGCAGGAATGTTTTCCTATCTCGCCGGCGTCTCTCGCGGCCGGCGGCGTCTCCGCGCCTCCTCCCCACGGGAAACCTCCGGCAATCCTTCACCCCTTCCGCCCCCCTCGAACGGGCCATCAATTCCTCTCGCAACTATTCTCCGTCCATCGGCCAATTTTATCGCGGCGATTGTTAGTTGCTTCTCTGTGACGTTAATCACAACACGCATGCGCTAAACATACGTGCCATAGAGACGCGGCGGGAATGCGGCCGGTCGCCATGGCAACTCGGCCGACTGAAGATGGCGCCGCGGCTTTGGCGGCGTTGCTTCGGGGCGCGCAGAGAGAGGGGAGGGAGAGAGAAGCGAGAGGGGAGGGCGCGCGAGTCTCCCTCTCGCTCGCCAGGCGCTCTGCGCGCGCGCTTTCGCCTGCCACCCCTGCTGGGCCCCGTGGCAGAACGGACCTCGCCTTCCCGGCCGCGCGCTCCGGCCCCGGGGCACGGGCCGCCTCGCGTTTCTTTTTTGGGCCCATTATACCTCGCTCACGCGTAGTTTCGCCAGCCCCGGAATTTCTATTGAAGTGAACGTTCCATAGAGCGCTAGTAAAGAGGATAAGGGAATTATAAATCAATGAACCGTAGAACAATTTCGGAGCGGGTTTAAAACCAGCTGATGTTACGACTACGATATTGATTTCACGCAAGCGAAAGGGAACGCAACTAGAATAGAGTTTAAGGCAACCATAAAGATTCCGTCACCTATGGGTTCCTAAACTTCAAATATCAGCTTCAATGTTACATTCATGTCGCCTATATTAGTATTATGCCGTTAGGAATCTCCCTTTTAAACATCAAATCAAATGCTTTAAAAACATTTTATAAAATCTTCTGAAGTTTTTGTATCGACACTAATAATTGCATTATCCTCTTATTTCTGCCAACCGCTACGCCACATCTTATATCTATTTTTAGTTTAATAAATTACCACTTTTTTACACGAACGACGCTTTGGCATTCTTTTTAAGCACCTCTATACTGCAGCACCGGTCCCTTCCAGATAGGGCACGGACGTTTCTTAGCTCGGACGTAGAATTTTTTCGACACGTACATTGTTCCGCGAGGCATTTCACATGACGGAACGGTTCAACGGTTTTTTTACGGATCCTGGGTTATGAAGGACACGGCGGCAAGAAATTTTAAGATATCACGACACACACATTGCAGCAGAGAGCCCATCACCCTCCCGTACTGCACCGTCCGCGGGCGGTGAAGGCAGATGGGCCACCGCCGCGCTCCGTCGTAAAGGCCCAGCGCGCGCGCACGCCGCCCGCGCCGCCGCCCGGTCAGCGTGATTTATCACCGCCGACTCGCAGAAAGCAACACGTGTAATACCTGAAATTCGTCACAATTCGCAATATCGACAGATCGCGACGGACTGCGGGGTTACGCTGTGACGGAAGCCCGACGGCTGCTCGCGCGAGACGTCATATTCAGCAAGCTCCACAAAGCTCCCAGCCTTTTTCCTTTCCAAGCAAAAACATTTGTAATGTTTACAGAGATGTAATATTTTAATACTTTGTTGTTGTTGTTTTCGCGAAAGCGCTGGAAATGGCACTTACCTTTCACAGAATTTTTCTAACAGGAGACATTTATCAAAGTATCATGATTTCTATATAAATCAATCAGTATACAAGAATAAAAATCATCTTAGAACATATTCAATATTTTAAACTTGTTTTTTCATATATTTCAAGGCCTTATTGTCCATATTACTACAATTTGATTGCACTGTTTTAAAGTATACCAATAAAGCTGTTGTGCAATTGAAATATTAAAATACCCGTAAGTTCAAACACGAACCAGACGAACTGTGACGTGCTTTTTTTTTATAACATTTCAGATCATCACCAATCCATGAAGATTGGAAGTGCAAAAGTTAAACAAAAATTTAAGTTTGTTTTCGCTACATATAAAAATGGTTTAATTTTCCTCCATTCTTGTGAGAATCAATGAGGAAAATGAGAAGGGCACGGAAATGAAACTTACTGAAGAAGGTTCGTGCCACTATTTTTAAATTGTGAATAACATTACTTTTAAATATATGGATAACGAATCAAGGCTAAAAAATAAATATATACACATGTAATAATTTTATTAATCAATAGTATTCTTAAATGTTATTGTATTATCAATAATTTTTTTTTCACCAGGGCTTCAACACGAAATCCTATGCATTTCTCTTGGAATTGCAAGTGTGCAACGCCTGTTTGATAAAATAAATAAATAAAATAAATAAATAAATAATAAATGCCTTTCTAAAGGTGATGCTACTTCACTCGAAAATTCCCCAATGATTGCTGAACCGGCTACAATGAACCAGATTCCAACATCAATGTAAATGTACTGTATCTTCAGCGCAAGAATCCTACTTCGTTGAGCGCATATATACTAGATATGCACGCGAATGCGCGGAGTCGACCAGAACGAAAGGGGGCGAGCGCGCGTCTGCGGGCAGACGTCTCTCGGAGAGCTCTCGGACAGCCGGGGCGAGCGGCAATCGATACCGCAGCGGCCGCGTAAAGGCCCAGGCCCAGGCCAAACGAAGGCGGCGCCGGGCGCTGGGAGGGCCCTTATCGATTCCCAGCACTCACCTGCGCCCCCCCCCCGGCCACAAAAATCGGCCCTCGCGAACGCTAGTTAGGCGCGACTTTCAACAATCGGCGAAGCCCTTTTATAAGCAATTCATTTTTACAACTTATTAATATAAACCAACGCCGCGTGGCACGTCTTAGTCTCACTTACTGAGATAAATAATGAAGAGAATTGGAATGATTTATCAGCAAACATTTGTGTTTTCGATGAATGAGGCACGAGTAACTTACGTAACTGACTCGCTCGAGTGAACCCAGTGCAAACTTTCAGTGGCTTCAATCAACACAACTTTCTTAACCTAAATAACTATCCTGAAGGCGCGTGGAACTGAGTTCACAGTCGCCACTAACAGCGACGGGCGTCAATCACCCGAAATTAGGCGTGATTAGTACTAGTAGTTAGTATTTATGTACTTAACAATAAAAACAGTTAAACACAGTGTGACGTACTATGAGAAGTACAATCTGAGCACTTTTCTTGAGCTGAAATCTGTATCCTAATTTAATGCATACTTAGTTGAATTATATTAACGTGCAATACAACGTGCAAGTGCGTGTGTGGCAATAATTTTTAAAAAGTATTATCTCACATGTAATACAATATTTACAAAGGCAACGAGCTCTACATTTTGGCTCTTATTGCTATTGTAATGCACTAAACACTCGCTAATCCGGCCCTCTGTAGTCCAACCTCTAGTCGTTCAAGCAGAAATAATACTCAAACATTGAATTATTTTGTGTGCAATGTTGTGTACATACAATATGGAATGAACATTTTCTTTGGATGTAGTCTATTGTATGTCCCTATATTTAACTAATTTCAAACTCACTCCAGGGTGGCCACTCACTTCGAGAAGCAAATTCCCCTCACTTTTCCCGTTTCACCAAAACATTAAAAACAAAAAATTCACGATAAGATTTGAAAGTATTTCACATCACTTTAGGACAATATTAAGGCAAGCTTGAGACTTTTTTAAGGGCTCTCCCATTACGTGGTGACTAAATAGAAATTTTAAAAAAGAAGTAGAAATTGAGCAAAATATAATGCTGTACTATCTTTTTAGGAATAATATCTAGTTTAATAACCAACTCAAAACTTTCCCAGACTTCTACTGATTCTTCCAGAAATTCCCTGATTTTTCCCTTCCTCCCCATAACAAACTCAAAACGTTCCCCGACTTCCACTGATTCTGCCACCAATTCCCTGATTTTTCCCTTCCTCCCCATAACCAACTCAAAACGTTACCCCGACTTCTAAAAATTCTTCCAGAAATTCCTTGATTCCCTCCCACCGGGCCTCTTCGACTTGTATTAATTCATCCACTAATTCTCTGATTAATTTTCCCTCCCCCCGTGCCATCCAGAAGGCGGCCACCCCAGCTGCCGCACGGGCGCGCAAGGGCCGGCTGAACGAGGCCGGATGAGCGAGCGTCCAGCGCACCACTCTCGTGAGGCGGCTCACGCCTGGCGCGGGGCGCGGGGCGCGGGGCGGAGGGGAGAAGCGTACCGTTGTACTCACCGGGGCTGCCCAGGAAGACGGACGAGTAGAGCACTCCGCGCCGGGCCTCGCTCGCCGCCCGCGCGTCCGCCGGCGACTGCCAGTCCCGCCGCGGGCACCACTTGCCTGCGGACACCACCACACCGCGCTCAGCACCAGCCACTCTCCACACATCGCACGGGCGCAACAGCTTGCTAACCGGCACACTTCCTTTAGTGATGCGGTCTCGGCACTCTTTTAATTACAACTATTCGGATTCAAAGCATTGCTTACGAGACGTCTTGGCTGTGCGGGTGACGCCGCGGCGTTGGCTGAGAGGGCGACGTTTCGCATGTCATATCCCAGGCTTCTTCAGATCATAAGTCACTGCCCTGAAGAAGCCTGCGATATGACCGGCGAAACGTTGGCCTCTCAGCCAACGACGCGGCGTCACCCGGGCAGCCTAGAAGTCATGAACTCGAGCCGCGGAAGCCTACGTGTACATTCCTTACGTGTTACATATCGCCTTCGTACTCGAATGTAACATGCATGCAGATACTAAATTCATTCTATTTCAGAAGAAACCAAAAACGAGTTCTAAGTGACAAACGATATTGGAAAAATTGACCTCGTCGAAATATGACAAAATAGATAATACTTTACCACACAAAAGAATGGACAACGTGAATTAAAAAAAATAACCACTAGATTAATTTTTCTAAAAGATGATTAATACAATTTACAACTTACAACGATAAGGATGAATATTTATTGAATTATTAAAGAAATGTTGTTCCAGTATGAGAAATACCGTCATTACATGCATCAACATAAAGGGTTCCTTGTAACATAAGGTAGCACTTCCAGACCATTTTTCTTCGACGCGTACCAACAGACATTTCCTGCTGGAAACCTTAGCGAAAAACAATTTGTTCACTAACTGACGGCGGCGTGTGAGCCAAGATTCAGGCCCACAAATGAAGGAACAGCTGGCGAGCAGTGCTTGTTTACATGAACTGCATTCTCGTAAGAAACTGGGAATAGGTGCGCCATCTGGTCGCAGACCGCTCTGTTCCACTTACGTACATCCAAACGTTTGTGTTTCCACTTCAACGATACACAGGACGAGAAAAAAAATGTCGATCCCTTTCACTGAACATTCGGTGTGTCGGGAGGCAAACGGAATACAGTGGAAGAGATACTGAATAAAAAATCCCAGTCCATAAGCCATTCCTGCGAAAATGCACTGGAGCAGTAACAAGCTCCTCCTTCGCAGATGTGCATCGATGGTAATAAAAGAGCAGTAAAAGCCTTGTAATCAATATAATGACAAGCTATCCCATAAATACATAATAGCCCCGCACCCTATACTCAAAAAAGGTGCGGGTAACATTTTGCGAAGACACGAGAAATTTATAGCTTTTTAACTCGCAATTTTTCGCCGCAGGTCCGCGAGATTTACGGTGGGAACCGCGCAAAAGAGCACTCCTAGAAACAATATAGCCAATTGGGCACGACGACCTTGACGCGTCCGGGGCGCGCGGGCCGTCGGTTCTCTCGCGGGCGACGGGGGCGGACGCGATTCAATTAGGCGGCTGAAAATCAAGTGGGCCATCTCTCGGGCTCAGCCGCGCGCGGCGCTAGCGGCGCCGTCGCACCGACACCGCTGTCACCATAACAATATCCGGGCGACGGGGAGGGGAGGGGAGGGAGCGACTGTGAAACGGGCACACGCAGGAGGGCAGTGGCGCTTCTTCGGTGGTTACAAGATGCCCTCCCCACCCCCCCACCCCGGTCCTT